TGCCCCCGCCTCTTCTAAGATGCCCCAGGTTTAATGGTTAAACAACCCCGATGTCTCCCCTGCCCTCCCAGCCACAGGGCACTGCCAGCCCTCACCCAGCAGAGCTGGGAGCAGTGACCAGCACCCCAGGAACAGATCCTGGTGTCCCCAGCTTCCAGCTGCCCCACGGGCAGCCCACGATGAGGAAGAACAACTGGTTCAATGTTAGCTGGAGCAGAAGAGAAGTGCCCATCCTAGCCCTGTGAGATGGGGAAGGGCCAGAGCCCTCCACTCCAGCTGCTGGAGGAATGGCTGCACCAGCACCTCCACTTTCCTCCCCAGGAAGGACCTGGAGAAGAGATTGAGTCTTGGCACGAGTGTGCTTCCGTGGAAGCAAAGTGGTGCACTTTAATGCTGCCAAAATTTCCACAAGCAAGCCTGAGTCCTGCCCCTCTGTCACAGCTGTGACTTGTGGCCAGGCCAGCAGTGGCCAGGGCACAGGGGCTGGGTCTCTACAAGCCCAAAATAACAAGTCCCATTTGCTCCTGGCCTGGTTTCTGTAGAGGTCTCCCACACTTGAGCCATGCCTGCAGATGAGTGTTGAGTCCCACCTACCCAGCACCTTTGGCAGCCTTGGTAGCACCCAAAAACTAGGCATGTCCTCGTTGGATGAGGTGGCAGAGGACGTGCTGCTGGGGTACACTCCAGGGTTTGCTCCCCAGCAGCACTGGTCCCTCCCTGGCCAGGGGGGTGGAGAGCAGGTTAGAGGCTCCCATGCTGCAGTTTCCCCAGCATCTTCTTCACCTCACTCTCCACCCGCAGGAACTTGGCTTTCCTCCAGGGGTTGGCAGTCTGTCTCCTGCTGCTCTCCAGGTCCTGCAGGATGAGGACAAGGTGCTGCCGAACCCTCTCTCGATCCCAGAAGGGCAGGTTCCTCTGCACCACGTTCAGGATGTGGGACCAGTAGTCAGAGACATCGGTGCCAGCTGTCAGGAAGACCAGTGCCCTGACACCATCCCTGTCCATGCGCAGGCTGTCGAGCGCCCGCTTGCCCTCCTCGCTGATGTCGTTGAAGTACAGGCTAAGGGAAAAGGAGCACGAGGTGCTGTGAGGGCTTGGGGGGGCAGGAGGCAGAAGCAGAGAGGGGCTGGCACCCCACTCCCTGCCACAGGGAGGGATGCTGGGTCAGAGGGAAGAGAGGGGCAGAGGGAACTCACTGCACTTTGTCCAGCGTCGCGTGCTTTTTGGCCACCTCCACCACGCGCAGGGCGGCTGCGTCCGTCAGGGAGTTGTAGCCCAGGTTGAGCTCCTGGAGGTGCTGGTTCTCAGCCAGGTGCTGGGCAATCACCTCGGCGCCCTGGTCGCCCAGCGTGGTGTGCAGCAGGGAGAGGTGGGTCAGGGAACGGTTGCCCGCCAGCGCCTCCGCCAGGTATCGTGCCCCCTGCTCGCCCACGGGGTTGTTTGCCAGCCTGTGGACACGGGAGCTGAAGGCAGTGCCGAGGCTGGGCGGGGATCCCCGGGCCAGGGCACACACGGTTGGCAGCAGACACAGGTTTTGTGCCAGGACGGGGGCAGTACTCACCGCAGTTTGCTCACCACACACTTGTCATGCAGGAGCAGGTCTCGGATTTCCTTGCAGGCATCAGAGCCCAGGCTGTTGAGCTGCAGACTGATGCAGAGTGAGATGGGAAGAGGGGGGTTGCAGGACCAAAACAGCAGTTACCTTTGGGGCTGGCAGCCCTGCTCTGACCATTTTCCCTGGCCCTCCCCATCCCCATCCTACCTGGGCTCCCCAGGCAAGACTCCCTCTCCAAAAAGGAGCACGCTGAAACCACACCAGGCATTGAATAGCATCAGCTAGCAGAGCCAGTGCCAGCAGGAGCCAGGGAGGGGAAGGGGATGCAGGGTCTGCAGGGGGTGGGCGAAGGTCTGAAGGAGGAGGGATCAGGACCCCACCGAGCCCTCCCGAGCATCTGGAGGAAGGAAATGCGCCCCGCCCCGCTGCACAGCCCAGTCCATCTCTGCCGGGCACGGCTCGCCACCCCCTGGGCGACAGGAAGACTGCAGGTCCACAGACGGATGGAAAGCACCCAGCCCTGGGCACCACCTGGGCTCCCACCCTCGGGCTGCACATCCCCTGCCCAGAGCCAGCTGGAGGATGCTGGGTGGCTCCGGGGGACAAGCAGTGCCAGGGACCTGGGACCTGCCAGCCCAGCCTGTGGTACCAGATGCAGAGAGCTGCCCAAATATTCCTACGGTAGGGTGTTTGGACTACAAATCCCAGCATGCAGTGCCCCGGAAGGCTCGAGGAGTGTTGCCTGCTGTAAGCTGCAGTCCTCTAGGTCTGCACCGAGGATAAACAAGGGCATGAACACCCTTCCCTACCTTCACTATGACTTCTAGTGGTGTCCCTGTGGTGTCTAGCGGGTGAGGAAGAGCCCAGTCTTTGGGCACTGCCCAAGGGCAGAAGGCGGCCGTACTCACTGGAGAGCTTTGCATCGCAGCAGGACAGGGAAGAGGATCCTCAGGCTGCTGGTGTCAAGGTTGCAGGAGCTCAGGTTCAGTTCCTCCACCTCGTGGCAGGTGGTGCCCACGACAGAGGCCAGGACAGAGCACTTGAGAGGGGTCATCTTGACGGAGGAGAGGTTGACGGTCCGAAGGGAGCGGACGGCCTCGGCGGTGAAGCGCTCGTTCTGGAACTCGTGCAGGAAGAAGAGGTAGTCCATCAGCTCAGAGGGGGGCAGGCCCTTGCGGCCCTTCCTGATGACTGTCTTCTTCATGGCCTTGGCAATCTCAAAGGCTGCCAGGTTCTTGATGGAGCAGCCCAGCTGCTCCAGGATGGCGCGGTTACGGCGGGACAGCAGCCCCCCCATGAAAATGGGGAAGAGCTCAAAGACCTCGTCGTCGGGGGCCTCGTCAGGGTGGCGCAGGGGACCCTCCACGCCTAGGATGCTGGAGTTGATCTGGTCCAAGACGTCGTCGTTGTAGTAGTCCTCCTCTTTGAACAGCTCCTCTGCCATGGTGTGGGCGATGGCGTCCCGATCCTTCCCGCTCAGCCGGGAGAAGTAGCGAGGGAAAATCCTGAGCAGGTTGAGGAGCACAGGCAGGAAGCGCAGCGGCAGCACCTTGGAGATGATGTTCAGAACCACCACGGCGTCCTCACTCACCTTCCCGATGACCTCCGACAGCTCCTTCCCCAGCCTCTGCACCAGGGTCTTCTTCTCACCCAGCACCACGTAGAGGGCTGCCAGGTACTCCTGCATGGCAGGGATGGTGAAGACAAAGGTGTGCTCCTTGCCAGGCTGCACGCAGGGAGTGAGGAAGAAGCGGAAGACGTCGCTACGGAACACCTCCAGGAGGTTGAGCTCGCTTTCAGTCTTCATCTCCACCTCAAAGCACTGCTGCAGGTCGTCCTCTGAGAAGCAGGTCTTGCGGGACATCACCCCTTGGTAGGCCAGCTTGCCCACCGTCTTGGCCACGTACTTCATCATGGAGATGTTGGTGGGGTCAGTGCTGTCCAGCACCTCCCCGCTGAAGTTGAGCCTCAGGAAGCTGGTGTAGATGCCAGTCAGGGTCTGGCTGGGAGGCACCGTCCTGGTGAAGTAGAGGAAGTGCAGCGTGGTGCACACCAGCCAGCAGTAAGAGGGCAAGAAGCAGGCAGCGGCTATTTGGTTGTGGCGCTCCAAGTTCCTCGACAACATCTCCACCAAGTTTTCCTGCTCACCTGAGGTGCTGGCCACGCTGCTCTCTCCACTGCAGCCAGGCTGGCTGAGGCGCATCTGGAAGTAGAGCTTCTGCAGGTTGGTGTCAGAGAAGCCACAGATCTCAGCGTAGCGACCCACGTACTTGCCGGGGATCCGGCGCACCGCTGACGGGCGTGTGGTGACAATGATGCTGGCCTGGAAGCAGAGGGCTGGGTGAGTTTGGAGGTGCTCCCTCTAAGCTCAGCAGGGTCCCAAGTGCATAACCCACGTAAAGATGCACGGGGATAACCCCACCCAGGCTGAGATTCAAGAAGTTGCTGCCCAAAGAGCGCTGGTTCAAATCTGGCCCAGGGAGAGGGGACAGAAGAGCTTTCCCCAACTCCTGCTAGACATATATTGAGGATGGAAGATCAGAGCCCAGCAGATCACCTTTTTTTTGGCTTACCAGGCCTTCCCAAAGACACCACAGAGACAAACCAAGAACAGTGACATGAGGCCACCTTGGTGAGTCCCTCCAGGAACGGAGGCAGCCCGTTCACACACAACCAAGCTGGACTAGAAGGAATTAGCACAGTGGCCATGCCTGCAACACCCCACAGCTCACCCCCAGCCTTTCTCCAGCACGAAGGAGCTGGAGGGAGAGACACTGACCTCTGGCAGGAGGTATTTTCTCAGCAGGTTGACGACAATGGCAGAGGGAGGCACGGGCTCATTGGGGTCACAGCACAGCTCCGTGCCTGCCAGCCGAAAGTCCAAGTTGAGGCGCTCCAAGCCGTTCAGGATAAAAAGCACCTTGAGGTTGGAAGTGCCCAGCACTGGCACCACATCCCTGAGGTGCTGGTACTTCTTGGTGACGAGGCGCCGCAGGGAGATGGGAGCATGGCTGTGGGACAGGTCCTCACAGGAGAAGGGGATGACCAGCTCAAAGCGGGGTAGGCGCCCGTGGCACCAGTCCACCACCATCTTCTTGATGAGGGTGCTCTTCCCCGTGCCCACGGTGCCGTAGAGCACCACGTTCTTCACCTGCCGCCCACAGGCATCCACGTCAAAAAGGTTCTGGAGGCTGATGACCTGGCTGCGGGTCTGCTGGAGCTGGTTCTGGATGGTGAGGTCAGGTGAGGGCTTCAGGATTTCCTCCAGGGAGCTCTCCCGGATCACTGGGTCTACATGGACTGCATCCAGGGAGAAGGAAGGGCCAAACTGCCTCTCTTCGTTAGGCTGGTGGCTGAACCATGCAGACAGGCTCTTCTGGTGTCTCTTGATGGCATCTGGGAAGAGAAGGGTGCTTGGCAAGACAAGGGCTTCTCATTGACAGGGAAAATCACCTGCCCTGAGCCACTGCAGTGACGTGGCTGCAGAGAGGAGGACAGAGCCCAGGTCCTGCTAACCCTCACACTGCCCAGGACTGTAGCTGCCCCAGCCCACTGTGTAGGACCCTCCATCCCCTTCAATGCAGAGCTGCAAGCTTACCAGAAGAGGTCACGTTCTTCACCTGGGACAGGCCCTGGCGTGAGGGTCTAGGCTGGGCAGAGTGCTCCTGGGACCCTCCCTGGTAGCGAACACAGCCCCTGCAAGAGGAGATGGAGTGTCATGAGAAGGACAGGGGCCAGCAGCAGCCCTGATGGTCCAAAGGCAGCCAGCTCAGCCACCCAGATCCCATGGCAAACAGCCACAGGGCAGAGTGGGCCAGGTCCCAGCTACATGGCACTGTACCTGGGGAGGGAGATGCCACCTGCATGAAGGATCTTCCTAAGGAAGGAGCTTCCTGCAGCACCTGGTAGGGAAGAACAACTCACATGGTCAGGGAGGGTCTTCTCCAGCCCAGCAGAGCTAACACAAACAAGTTCACTGGCTTTGTGTCTTGCTGGCTTGATCCACAGA